GAAAGGTCGTAATTTCCTTATACAAAATGGTCATAAAGCAGATAGCACAGGTCCACTGCCTTATTTCTAGCTGATCATGACCAATATAGATGGTCATAACCTTGTAAATTGTGGTGGGTTGCTATGACTAGGTGCTACCTCATCAGTTTTGCCTATGTGTCATGTCCATGTGGCGGTTTTTGCCCTACGTTGTGAAGCAACCTATATTTCTGTCATTCCCAAAATTCCCAAAAAAATCTCATAAATTCTTTGGGTCATATCTTCGTCAAATATGTAAAAAACCTTCCTTGCCTAGTTCAAAAATAATTCGAAAATATTCATTTTCCTATTCTATTCAGAAAAACACTTTGTGAAGGAAGTACCACTTTGGCATGTCCAAATGGTATCCATTTTCTACAGTGCTTTCCTATGCCCAAATAACCATCCTCCACCAAATGCCACCTCAATCCATTCATTATTTTGAGCCCAGCTTCAACATTCGTATTTATGTTCAGTGTGGTACTTTGTAAAGCAAGTACCACCTAGGCTCCTCCTTTTGAGCTCAAAATGTGTGAAGACGGTCTTCTTAGTAACTCATCATCCTCAGCCAAAACTCACGCCCATTAGCCATGTGCATTTCCCGTACCACTAATCAAACACTTGGCTGCTTATTCATGTTTGAGCATCGATCAGTCTCCTCGTGAGAATCTTATGTTGTGATTTTCTTCCTAGCACCTACCTGGGGAGTGCCCAACCCACTAGACATGCCTAGGCTGCCCAGAACACATGGCAATGCCACGGTCACATGATGACCACGCGACGGGCATGCGAGTTTACGCGCTCTAGAGTTGGGGCCCTCGGCCACCATCCAAACCTCGACGTATCGCCACCAAACCATGTATTTATGATTAAATAGGTACTTATGTGACTAGAAAATATTTTTGGAAAAAATAAATAGCAAACTATGAGGCAGCTGCAGTTCAAATTTGACCCGCTTCCTACTGAATTGGTGGAAATTTGTCTTTTTCACCAGAGGTGGATCAAAACTTTTGACACCAAACCATTTTATCAATTGTGCATTAAATATGGCCTAGTATTTTAGAAAATTAATTTGGTCCAATGAAAACAAATATATGGTAGGTCCATCACAAAAAAACTCATTTCAGGCACTCGGAAAATGGAAAATGAATTTTCCGTGCAAAGAAAATGAAAACTCCCTTAGGCAACATTGTTTGGAATTCCAAGATGCACCCTTGTGCACAATATGAGATCATTTGAACAAACTATGCCATGAATGTGGTCATAAGATTGATCATTTGGCTTGAAAGACATGAATCTTCACGCATGATAGCTCATTTTTTATAACACTTATTGAAAATAATTTCCGTATTACAAGTTTATTATTTTTCCTCGAAACTTGGTCACATATAATGACACAATGCGAAGGTTTTCCAATTTTTTGATTGTTTTTGAATTTTTTATGCTCATTTCAAAATGCGTTCAAAACGGCGGGCTTGACCATTCCTAGCTAGTGGTTGAATCTTGGAAAAAATTTGATGTTTCTCTGATTAAATAGATACTTACTAGCAAATATGCCCGTGCGTTGCAACGGAAGAAAAAATTACACGTTGGTCAATATCCGACATATGAATGTCCTCTATTTTAACACGATGGCTCACCATGTTGCCAATTATCTTTCTTCTCACTCTCGTTGATGATGGATGCAATATCCACGTGATCGCAATGCATTCAACGTGGTCAAAAATGGGCTTGTCACTATACGACACACTTGTCATTGTCTCGCGCAAGGGAATGTTTTGAAATTTGAAAACAAATCTCATCGACCATGGACTACTCGCCAACCCCAAGACATATAAAGAATTTCCAAAATTAATCAAATCCTAGATATAAAATACATCCGAATAGGAAGAGTTTTTTGAATCGACAAACATTCTTTTTAAATTTAGACATTTTTTTAAATTCACAAACATTTGTTTTTTAGACGAACATTTATTGAAATGCATGAATAGTTTTTGATTTCATGATGACTCAGATTCACAAATATGTTTTGAATACACGATCATTTTATCAAGATCATGAACTTGATTTTATTTAACGACATTTCTTTCCAAATTATTTTTATAATTTGCAAATATTTTTGTAAAATCAGTAACATTTTTTGAAACCACGAAAATTTTATGATTTCCTGAACTTTTTTGAATTCACACACATTTTATAATTTCTCAAACAGCTTTTTCAAACTCGCAACTTTTTAATACTTGAAAATCTCAAATTGATTTAAAGAAGGAGAAAACAAAAACAAAAGTGAGAAAAGAGAAGACCAGAAAAAAGAAAAAAATAGGGCATTAAGTCCGCTGGCTGGCCCATGTAGGCCTAAAGTAGGTGGGAATAAGTCATGAGAAAAAGGTGGAGGAAAATATTGGTAGAAGCTGGGGTTCGAACCCTGGTCTACATGGCAGAAGACAATGCATCGAGCCACCGCGCTGCTACTGCTTCACTGCTATTTGTTGGATATTAACTGTATACAAACTCTGGAAACGACAGCGACTTTGAAAAGAAAAATCGAATCGTTTTCTTCACTTACGGGTGGCATAGCAGGTAATTTCTAGCAACTTCGGGGGGCGATTTTTGTGACGTACGGGCAGAAGCAATATCTGCTTTATTAGTAGGTATAGATGTACCTAGAAATGATTTTTGGAAAAAATAAAGAGCAAACTATGAGGCAACTGCAGTTCAAATTAACCCGCTTCCAACTGAATCGGCGGGAATTTGTCTTTTTCACCAGAGATAGATCAAAACTTTTGACACCCAACCATTTTGTCAATAGTGCATTAAATATGGCCTAGTATTTTATAAAATTGATTTGGTCAAATTTTGCAACAAATATTTGGTAGGTCCTTCACAAAAAAACCTCACTTGGGGCACTCGGAAAATGGAAAATGAATTTTTCGTGCAAAGAAAATGAAAACTCCCTTAGGCAACATTGTTTGGAATTCCAAGATGCACCCTTATGCACAATATGAGATCATTTGAACAGACTATGCCATGAATGTGGCCATAAAGATTGAGCATTTGGGTTGAAAGCCATGCATCTTCACACTTGATAGCTCGTTTCTGAGAACACTTTTTTAAAATAATTGTCGTATTACAAGTTTATAATTTTTGCTGGTAACTTGGCCACATATAACGACACAATGTGAAGGATTTGCAATTGTTTGATTTTTTTTTTGAATTTTTTATTCCCATTTCAAAATGTGGTCAAAATGGCGGGAATGACCGTTCCTAGCTAGTGGTTGAATCTTGGAAAACTTTTTGTGTTTCTATGATTAAATAGATACTTATGTACCTATAAATGATTTTTGGAAAAAATAAAGAGCAAACTACGAGGCAGCTGCAGTTCAAATTTGACCCACTTCCAGCTGAATCGGCGGAGATTTGTCTTTTTCACTAGAGGTGGATCAAAACTTTTTACACCCAACCATTTGGTCAATTGTGCATTAAATATGTCCTATTATTTTATAAAATTGATTTGGTAAAATTTTGAAACAAATATTTGGTATGTCCTTCACAAAAAAACTCATTTTGGACATTCAAAAAATGGAAAATGTTTTTTTTGACAAAAAACTCATTTCTCATGACATATTTTTAAAGATATTTATCTTATTTCATGTTTGTTACTTTTCCTGAAAACTTATTCACATTAGTGACACAATGAGAAGGTTTTTCATTTTCTTTTTGAATTTTCTTAGGTCATAAAATAGCTGATATGATTTTAACATGCTATTTTTAGTCAACTACGACCAATTTAAATGGTCATAACGTGGTACTGCATTCTGATTGGTCCGTGGACGTCTCACGCGGATCGTGCATGGAACACCGTCGGATGCTCGCAGATCCAATGGCAGTCCTCGGCCCACCACACCAACCCCAAGCCCACCAAAGCCGAAACCCTAGCTCTACTTGTGGACGTTTTCCATCC